GGTAGGGAAAAAGGGGCATAGTGAGCAGCACCTGGCGTGCTCTGAAGCTGTGATTTCACAGCAGGAGGCTTTGGGGATTCTGGCAAGTTCTATGGAGAAGGGTGTTGGAAGGCTGGGGGCCGTGGGAGCTTGCAGAGCCCCATCAGTGGTGTCTGCCTGCTCCCTGGCACCCCTGTGCCCCGGCTGTCTGCCCGGCCACGGCCACGCTCGTGCCTCTCAACAGCACTGCAAAGTCTTGTGCTGCTTCTTTGTGACAAAGGGAAATGAGCCACGAGCCCCAGTCAGAATGGCTCTGCCCTTGAAAGCAGTGCAGCCCTGGAGTTTGGAAAGCTACAGGAGTGTAACCAGCTGCTGTGCAGTGACCAAGCGCCGTCTGCTCAGCTCATCCCTGCCCAGCTCTGTGTGTGCTCTCTGCAGATGCCCACATTGTTTTCCCTTCCCTGGTCCAGCAGAGAGAACCAGTATATTGCTTCTAAAGGGCAAGGGCTGGAGGGCTCAGCTCAGTCCTTTCCCAAACGCCTGGAGCTCCCTGTGTAAGGTTTTCCAGGGTTGCCCCAAGTGCCTCTCACATCCCCGTTTGCTGCCGTGCTGGGGGTTTAGAGTGGCTGGAAACTAGTCTGTGTGTGAGGCCAGCTTCCCACTGAAGAGCTGTTCAGACAGAGCACCCGTGGGTGTTGGTGCTCTGTGCTGGGCAGCTGCCTGTCCCCAGCAGCACGGGCAGAGGAGCCCCCGGTGCAGCCGCCTCATCTCCTCTGCCTGGTTTGGTTGGTGGCAGATGCCACGAGGTGTTTGGATTTCCGTCTGTCACTTCCTGATGCATTTCACTTCAGAGCAGGGACCAGATCATGGGAAGGATAGTCTCCTTCTTCCAGAAGAAGTGTCAAATCTGTGCTGTTGTCAGCCAGCCAGAGTTCTCCCTTCACACATGACAAGTGCCACTGGTGATGGCTTCCTAGGGAACGCTGTGGTTGAACTCCTGCCTGCTCTCTGGATGGAGGCGTGTGCTGCTCTTGGTGCTTCTGCTTCTCTTTTATGTTCTTTCCTTTAATTTGAGTTGCTTACTCTAATCCTTTTTTAAGATTTATTTTTGCTCTGGCTGACCAACTTACCCTTAGCATCAACCCCTTAATCCCTGTCTTCTCACAGGTCTGGCCCGAAGGGTTTCAATCTATCTTGACAGAAGTAAGCAGGGAGGTGAGTGCTCTCTTTCCTGTTACCTATGATCAGCTGGGGTGGGAAGATCCTCCTGGTCTGGCTTCGGGTTGGTTGACTGGTTGGTTGGTTGGGTTTTTTGTCATTGTTTGAATGACTGCTGGGTCCTTGTGGTTCCTGGAAAGCTTTTCTGCTTCTCCCATTCCTTGCCTTGTGTCTGTGTCCGTAACAGCCGCGAGAAGCGCAGGGAGGGTGTCTGTGCACTCTAGGGAAGAGCAGACAGCTGCTGGGAAGAGGGCATCTTCCTCTCACTCTCTCAGAGCTCTCTGCAGTGAGAGGAGGTGTGGCTGGGATGTACAGAGTCTCTCTCTTTTCCAGGAAGACTTCAAAGCATCCCTGGACAAAAGGGTTTGAAAGGCAGGTTCCAAACGTGAGCCACCGTTAAGCTAATGTGGCTCTTACTGGGCTTTGTTTGTGGTGCACTTCTGCTGTAAAGAGCATGTGGAAAGCAGGAACTGGTAAATCTTTCCCAGGAGGCTCAAAATAGTGGACTTTTGGCAAGGATATCCCTAATAGATTTTACAAAGGCTGTTCTTTCACGTGGAAGGAAGCAAACTCCCCAGCCTCTGTCTGTAGAAGCCAGGACTGTGCAGCGCCTGCGTGGCTCTGGAGCCTGGCTCCCTCCTCTGCCAGAGGTCCCCAGGCAGGCAGAGGGTTAATGTGCCAGGGCAGCTCTGTGTGTATGCACCTCCCTGCATGCTCGTGTTGACGTAGTCATTTTGGGTCATTCATCAATTATTAATATTTGCTGACTGATGAGAGCTGAACGTGTCTGCAATGATGAATAGGACGAAGATGATTGCGGTGGTGTGTGATTCAGAGCTCTTTAGCTGGAGGTCTTTGCAGGTCTCACTCTTCAGAGGCAGAGCACTGCAACAGAAATTAGTGGAGCTGATGTGTTGCTGTGAGCTGCCTGGATCTGCATTTCACTCAAAAATCCACTGGCAAAAGGAAAGGCTAAAATTAGCAAGACTGGCTACAGGGAATTCCTTGCTCAGCCAAGGGGGCATCCCACCAGTTGAAGGGCAAAGCAGCTGCTGCCTTGCTGGCTCCGTGCTGCTGGCACCCAGCAACCCCACCCTGTCCCAGGCACACAAGTAACTGGGAATCAGTAAAAAGTAAAAAACAGCATTTTCTGGCCAGGTGTTCTCCTAGTGCACAATGCAGCAAAAGGATTTCTTCTCTCCCGCTGAAGAAGTCTTAAAAATGTATGAGATTAGCTATTTGCTTGACAGTAAAATACATCAGCAATATTTAGAGAAAGTACACTAGTTTTGTTGCTGAAGCACAGAAAATGTGTTCTCATTGCCTAGGATTCTGTGAGGGATATTTCCCAAAAGGAGGACAGGGAACTGTCCCTTCATTCTCGCATCGCTGGGTGCTGCTTTTGGGCAGGGGTCACCTGGCACTGCTGTGCTGTGGGTCAGGGGGAGGTCAGAGAAAGGCCAGTGGCCTGATGGCCCAGGTCACAGCAGGCCAGTGTGCCAGCCAGGCTGGGAATCCCTGAAGCTCACGTGAGCACAGAGCAGAGTCTGCAGCCAGCACATTCAGCATTATGAAGGCAGCTGAGCTGGCAGGAGTCCCAAGATTTGTTCCTGTGACCCTCTGCCCGGGCTGCTTCACCTCCTGCTCTGTCAGAGCTCTTCTGGGTGTCTCAGCACACTGCTGTCACCTCCCAAGGGGTGACTGAGTGTGCAACATGAAGAAGGAGACTGTGAACAAGAGAATATGCATCTGACCTGTGCCCACCTCTATCCATCGCTGCCTCCTGGGGCTCCTTGGGGCTGATACGTGAACAGCCGTAATCTGTCTTACCTCCAGAAAATTTCTACTGGTGCCAAGCAAGAAAAAATAAGGGACCTATTTGCCAGTCCCCTGCTTCCTTCCTGCTCTCCTGGGGCTTCTGAAACAAAGTGAAAGACGTCTAATACCCGCTCTGTAAAAAACCAGGACCTTGTCCTCTGGAGGCTGTGCTGTGCTTTGAGCAGCCCTGGCTCTCCTGGCAGGCAGGTGGGGAGAGGCAGCCTCAGAATCGAGCAGCTCACTGACAGGGAGGTTTCATGGGGAGCTGCCTGGGGCAGCCTGCAACAGAGGAGCCTCAGCAAAGCTCTAACCTGCAACAGGAGCTGATCAGATGATCAAACTCCAGCAGAGCTTGTACTGGAGAACAAGAGGGAGAGAGAAAAGCAGAGTGAGTCTTGCTACATCTCCCCTGGGGTTGGTATCTTGTCCTTTAGGAATGAGGAGTTTGGGAGAAGCACCTTATTTCTGGTCAGGTTTTTTTTTTATGGCAATAAAATAGTTGGAGAAATTGCAGCTCCAGGGGTTTGTGTTCTTTTAATTGGATTCACAGCATCACAGCCACTCTTCTCCCTTGCTGCACATAGTCCTTGGCATAAGAAGAGTGATGCTTTTTGAAAGGATGTTGTAGAAATTAATGATGAGTGAGGCCAGACAACCCTCCTACTGCTTCCTGGAAATTAAAAAAGTGCTGTGCCTCATTGCTCAACCAGGAGGGCCCATGATTTAAAAAATCATCAGTCAGAAGCCGAGATGCTTTTTTTTATTGTGTTCTGTGTAGGTATTCCTGATTTCACTGAAGTCCCAAGTACAGGTTGGCCTCATTCCAGTGGCATTAAAGATAAGTGCAGAGTCCCAGAGTCTGCAGCTGCTTTCAACAGCAGTGTTATTTACTGAAATTTATACAAGGAGCTGCCCCACCCAGACAGATACCTGTTGCTCAGAGGGAACCTGGAGGGAACAGCCATAGAAAGTTACAGCATCAAGAACAGATTTGTTATGTGTAGCCTCATAAATAAGCTCACATCAAACAGAGCTGCAAGTATTTGTATTAGAAGACCTAAAAAAAAACATTAAAAAAAAAAAAAATATCACAAACCTTTAAAAATTTCTTTCCCTGAGCCCTGGAAGATTTGTTGCTCTCAGCTGAGAAGAGTGATAACACTCCCTATAGGAAAATTGTGCTCTGAAGTAGTGATGGTGAGGAGTGCACCCCGTGGGTGCCCCTTCCTGCACCCACTGGCTGTGCCCGGGGTTCTCTGGTGGCCTCTGGCCGGTGTCACCCCATTGCCCTGCTCACCCCATTCCTGGGGGCAGGTGGCAGGTGCCACGGAGCCTGGGCACACCCGGTGGCAGCAGGGGTGCCCGTTGCCTCTCTGCCCCACTGAGGCTCAGAAGCACCTTGGCTGCCAACTGCAGGAGCCAAAACCCGGCAGGGGAGCTGCGGGCGCAGTTGTGACATCCTGGACGAGGACCTCTGTTAATTAAAAGGGAAATTATAATTAGCACGAGTCCCACCTTTGCTTCTCTTCCCAAAATACTAGGAGTTTAACGTATTAACGTGAGCCAGTGTTGTATCATTTCCACCACAAAAGCGTTTGCTCGTGCATAGAAATAGTTCAGCTATTTGTGTCTCGTTTCGTACTGTGCTTGTCAGCTCTGAGTGGAACATTTCACAGTCAGAGGAAGCTTTCCTCCTGCTACCCCCTTGTGAACCACTTAAATGCACGTACAAAGGCTCTTCTTCTTTCCAGACACGTTTGGATTCGAGTGTGGCATTCCCAGGCACATCCTGGGGTGCCCTTTCCCCCCCCCTCTGCCCGGGTCCCTGCGGGGCCGTGGCCTGGGCTGCAGCAGGAGCCGACCCCAGAGCCAGACCCCGACTCCCCGGGGAGGTGCCAGGAACTCCCCTGGGCTGCAGCTGGTACACAGCCACTCGGTGCTCTCTGGTGCCCCTCTGGGTGGTGCAGCGTGAGCAGCATGCTCTGAGACTGCCCAGCCCACCCGCCAGGGCTGGGCACCAGCAGCTGCAAAGGTTCCTATTTTCTTGGGAGAATAAGGAGGGTGATGAAGGAAAGGGAAGATGCCCTGTTATGGGATGATTAGAGTGCTGTGCTTGCCTCTCCCAGAGAGCAGAGCTCATCGCCTGCATGGGCTGTTTAAGTTCTGTACAAAAGGCAAGAGCTGCCCTGGCTGCTTTGAAGAGCACGAGCTGCACATACACCAACACCATCACCCTCCTTGCTTTCCACCCATGGGCTGCCAGCTCCTGCTTCAGGGTGAGCCCTTGTCCCTTCTCTCTGGTTATCTCTCATGGGACATCTCTGGGCCATTCTGCATAAAGTGAAACCCCTCTGGAGCATCTTCCCTCAGTGAAGCTTTCCCCAGCCTGGTAGGTGGCATCACTGAATAGCCTCAGTGCTTAAATTCCTGACAGATAAACCAAGAGAAGCACCAAAACCAGGAGTCATCACTCAGAACTCACCATCTCCATCCCCTTGCAGAAAAGACACCTGGAACTGGAGCAGGCTGGGGACCTTCTGCGGATCAGGCTGAAATAAAACATTGTCTTCAAACTGGGAGATGTAACTGGAAAATTGGGAGCTTTAAAACTGCATAAGAGCACTTTGCCTACTTAACTCCATCAGCGATGGTAATGGTGGTATCTGTCTCGGCCTGCCAGGTTTATCTTGTCACATGGCCCATAAACAAGATGACAAATGAAAACACTTCAGTGATGTTTATCATCTAAATCACTGCCTGCTTGTTTGCCTCGAATCTCCAGCAGCCCTTGGAGCTGCCAGGCAATCTGAAGGAACAATCAATTTGACTCGCAAGATAAAGACACAAGCTCCCAGCTTAGCCCAGAGTCCCCAATTTCCTGCGGTGAGATGACGAACTGTCAATAAACATCAGTAATCTTCTTAGTGATGTGCAGCAAGATCAGGAAGCAGCTTGGGTGTGACGCTTAGGAAGGGGAGATGGGCAAAATTTTTTATCTGGATCCGTGCAAAACAAGGTCATTTCATCATCTTTGAAGAAAACTTGGTGTTTCTAGGATGCCTTTGCTGTTTCCTTTGTGCCCTGTGAAAGCGTTCGGTCTGGTAAAAGGTCCTTAAGGCCTTTTGGTGACAAAGAGCACGTTGGGGTAGGTTTAAATTTCCTGCTGGGGCTAATTCCTAGCAGTAAATAGAGGCAAATTCACATTTCTACCTTCTGGACAAGCAAGTTGTGGAGTGGCACTGCAGGAGTCCCACTGAAGGGGACTGGCTGGGAGCAGGAGCCTGCAGTCCTGGTGCATTGCAGAGCGCTTCCTGACGCCGGGTTCAGCTGGTTATAAAACACTTCTCGGCACCAGAGGCTCAGTTTGGCATGGATGTGAGGAGGAACCACTGCTCTGTGAGGCAAGGCTGCTGCTGCTGCCTCTGCTGGAGGGAGAGCCCTGCCCGAGGAGGTGAAAGCCACACAGAAACCTGCCTGCTTCTCTGGTTCCCTCGCGCAGCGCTCCCAGGGTTCTCATTTGTGTTTTCAATGTGGGAATTAGTCTCCTCAGAAAACTTGCAGGTTTGGGGCTGGCCAACCTTTGCAGCATAAACAGCAGAAGATAATTGGTGTACAGCTCTCTGCTCTGAGCAAAGCGTTTCCGAGCTGAGGCAGCAGCACACGGGTACAAAGAAATCCCCTCTAATTAAACCTGTGGGAATTGTTCCTCAGGGGTTTCCCCCACCAGCCAGGGCTTTCACTGCCAGCCAGCCGTGGTGGGTGTGCTGGGGACAGAAAAGCCCTTGTGATTCTTTTACAGCACGGATGGGATGTTTTTCTAAGCTTCACTTAGCAATCAGTTTGTGCTCCCAAAGATGAGGAGCAGAAGCTCTCAGAAATGTGTTTTAGCTGGTGTCACTGCAGGATGCTCCCTCCTTGGCTGCCTGTGTGGCAACTTGCTTTTCACTCCTACCAAGCTGTTTAATTCAGTACCTTGCAGCAGTGACTTGGCTATTCCTTGTTGAGATACATCTCCCCTTAGCCACCTATTTCAGTTAGAAAGAGGAATCCTGGTCATCCAGAGGCTCTCGGGTCTTGCTGTGTGAAATGTCACCAGTTTAGTCTACTTCAGTCATCCTTTAATCCGGCGTTCTCATAGAATCATTTAGGTTGGAAGGGACCTCCAAGAACACCATGAAGTGGTGCATGATTTATTAAGACTCCCTTGGAAGTCCTCAGCAGCTTGGCCACGTCCCTGGATGGCTGTATTCACCTTCCTGCAGGGGCCATCTGCACTTGGGCTTTTGTGAGCTAGACAAGAGGTCAAAGATGTCTTTTGGACTCAAATCCAGCTGATTTGGTCCCATTTGGAGAACGTATGGATGCGTGTGTCTGTAATTTTACATTTCCTCTAATAACTGTAGTTTCTGGAGCATGAGGTCACGACAGCTGGTGTTGCAATTGGAGCAGCTCTGCCTGTGCTGATGTGGAGAGTAATTTGCACACCCTGCCTGTGTTTTGTCTTAGGAGCAGGAATGGTAGTCGACTGGGAACAAGAAACTGGGCTCCTGATGACGTCGGGGGATGTGAGGATAATCCGGATCTGGGACACAGACAGGGAAATGAAAGTCCAGGTAACCTCTGCCTCTTTGTCCTGTTCCCCTTTTCCCTCCCAGAGTTACCCTGTGCACGGCCCAGGCATCCGAGGCTCATCTCTGGAGAGCTGACAGGTTCTGGAGCTCCTGCCTCACAGTCCTGTTACAAGATAAATGAAATTGCACACCTATGTAGGGAGTGTGTCAGGTCTCTCCTGGAAGCTGCCCCTGCCATTCCAGGTGCCATAAAGCAACGTTTGGGAGAGGTGGGGCTGTGGAACCAGAGGCAGGCCCCAGGATGCAGACAGGGTTTCCCATCAGCACATACCTGAAATAGTGTAGATGTTCTGGAGGAACCTGGTGGTGAGTTGGGTTAGGGGCAGAGCACATGGACTTGGCACTGCCATCTCTGCTTCTCTGGGACACACAGAGAGCTGGTTGTGGAGCAGCACTGCTCTCCCAGCTCCCAGGCACGGGTCTGTGTCCAGGGAAGCTGCAGAGAGCACTCAGGTACCTGCTCAGGACCGGAGCTCTCACCAGCACAGTGGAGCTGTCACAGCTTGGCCCAGCCCAACTCAGCTCACAGGTTTGCCCCGTGTTCTCTGGGCTGGGCTCTCTGAGGCTGGGGGTGCCTGCGAGCCCCCTGGCAGCTCCCTTGGCATCCTCATGTCCCTGGGGAGCTCCACAGGCAGGGGCACCCCGGGCAGGTCACCTCTCACCCCTGGCACGAGGCAGAGGGGAAGGACACCACGGGTGCTGCTGCTGCTCAGAATCCCATGGAAGCTTCTCAGAGATCAGAAGGAGGAGCAGCTGCTCTGTGAGAGTGAAGTCACCGTGCTGGAGGAGAAAGGAAAACTAGTTTTCAAAGCTTCTAGAAATTAATTACCCTTGGATGAACGTTAATTACACCACTTTGGCCCCGCAATGCGGGATAATTAGGCCTATGTTAATCTTAATTATTTCCACATATTATTTTTTCTATGTAAATTAGGGAACAGCAAAATTCAGGGGGTGAAAATCTTTTAAATTAGGATGATTAATGATCGCACCAAAACTATCTAAAAACGTGTTGTTTCTTTTTTTAATTGCAAAGATTGGTTGTGTTGAATTTCAAGTGATTGAAACTTCCTGACTCAGTAACACTGGAAAAGGGAAATTCAGCACAAAGAAGAGTGGAGCTGTGTAATCCCAGCTAATAAAGGTGCATTCCCACTCTTTGAACTTCAAAAAGTGCACCTCTGGAAGCACTCGGGCTGTAGCTGAAGAAGCAAGTCCTTCATTTTCACTTCTGCTGATTGTTCCTGCTTCAAAGGCAGGACCTGGGTTTAGGCAGCTGGAGGAGCTGCTGAGAACAGCCCTGAAGGTTGGTGCCTCCAGGCAGCAGCACAGGGAAGAGCAGCTGGGAGAGGTGACTGTGCACAAAGCAGAAAGGGGACTGAGGTGTGAAACAGCTGCTGCAGCTCTGACCTGCCTCCTGATGGTTACCCCACTTTGTCAGAGCCACTCAGCTTTTTTTACCTGTTTTAGTTGAAAATGGTTTTCCTCATAAGAGGCGTGGGTATTATTCTGAGCAGTTCTTTCCCCTACAGCAAAAAGGGAGGAAGCTGCAGAGTGTTCCCAGCACAGCCCTTGTGAGCTCCAGCCTTCTCTCTCCATGTCAGTGTGTTTAGTACACGCAGCATCTGGTGGCTGAGGAGTTGAAAGGAGGGGGAGACCTCCCTTCATCTGACCATGAACAGAGGGGGAGAGCCAAGTGCTTGAAAAACAAATTCAGAAATAAAAGTGGACTTTGTTAGTGGTACCTGGAGCCATTCTGGGCACAGGGAGCTGCCTCCTGGGAAAATCATTTTATTGTTTCCAGGGCCAGAGACAGGTTTGGTCTGGCACAGACAAAAAAATCCATAAATCTTACAAGAGGCATTTAAATAACTTCATAGAACTTATTTGGTTGTTGACACGATGCACAAAAAGGGCTGATATGTTGCAACTTTGCACCTAATACCTTGGAGCTTTGTTGTAACTTTGTTTACATGGGTGGCATCACCCAGAGCAGACCCTGGGTTTCTCTCTGGTGTTATATTCAGCATTACAAGTCTCTGCTTTCTGCAGGTGTATTTGTCTTATATGATTCTTCTCCTTCAGATATATACTGTCCCTCCTGCCATTCCAATGGCTTTTACAACTTGTACACAACAAAGCTGGTTTGTGGAGGAATAACTCCTCTAACCATTCATTTTAACTCATTAGTTATACTTAGGAGTGAATATTTAATATTATTTAATATTATAAATAATATTGAATCCTCCTTCCCCTAATAATCCTTGCCTTCGTTCGGGTTTATGAAGCTGAACGATGTGCTAAAGCTGGTTTTGCTGGAGTTCCTCCTCTTTGGGTTGCACTGTGGGACTTGTGGCTCAGAGACGTGGCAGCAGCTGTGGACCTTTTACT